AATAACAGTGAAGAGAATTTCTGTATTGAACTGACAGTTTTATATAGTTTGTTTCAGAATATAAAACAGTATTATAACAATCAAAAAAACCCACCTGTTTCCTCCTTTACTTTCTAAAAGAGGTGCATCGAAGTCATTATTAAAGACAAGATAAAAAAAGGTAAAGTTCAATTAAAAATACCAAGAATAGGGCTGGGGTTGTGGCTCACCACCTAGAACAGGTGAGGCACTGGGTTCAATCCTCAGCACCACATACAGATAAATAAATAAAAGTATTGTGTCCAAAATATTTTCAAAAATACCAAGAACACATACTGGATTCTTGGGTCATAATTCTTTAATGTACTATTTTAGTTTAGATGAACACAATACCTTTATTTTATTTATTTTTATGTGGTGCTGAAAATCAAACCCAGTGCCTCACATATGCTAGGCAAGCACTTTACCACTGAGCCACAATCTCAGCCGGGGTCATAATCTTATACCCATTAGAATAGCTATTATCGAAAATAAATTATAGCAGTGTCAGTGAGAATGTAAAAAAAGAAACTGGAACCCTAATATATTAATTGTGGGAATGTAAAAAATGTAAAAAAAAAAATGTGCAGTTGCTATAAAAAATAATTATGATGGTTCTTCAAAAAATTAAAATAACAAAAGATGATTCAGCAATTCCACTTCTGGATATATATACAAATGACCTATTTGTACATTTATGTTCATAGGAACATTACTCCCAACAGCCAAAAGGTAAAAGCTATATAAGTGTTCACTGATGGATAAACAAAATGTGGCATATACATGCAATGGAAAAATTTCCCTATTTGACTCAAAGGAAAATTACTAATATGCTTTATTCTGGATTATACTTCCAGTATTCTGAGATGGCCAATTCTTCCATGCATTAAACAACTTTTCCTCTGTCAAACACAACACATACCTAAAATGGTCACACCTAAGATAGTCCTTAATTTTTAAAAAAATCTTAGTAAATTAAACACATCCACATACATGACATAAAATCAGCTATAACACCCACCCAAAACAGTTGTATGGGCATCATATATAGTCCCAACAAATTTTTATAGTTCTTCTCTTGTATGTTTTCTTTTATCTAAGTTTAAATAACTATTCCAATAAAAATAAACAACAAGGAATCTAAAACACAAATATGATAAGATGCTTTGAGTCTTATCTGCAGCATATATTCAAAGGGATTTAAAAGTATTGAGAATTTAAGAATCATCTCCATAGAAAATACAACTGTATATAATTTAAAACAAATAATATAATTTAAATATTTTACAGTATGTATTTTGTAAATAGTAGTCATCTCTCCAGAAGAAATGTTATAAATTATTTTTATACCTTAAATAGTGTACATTTCTATACTTAAAGAGAAGAAATAATAATATCATGGTAATAATGACTTCTTGTTTGGATGAAAATTATGTAAACTTACATGTTTTTAATATGTGATGACATCAAGATAAACTTGACAACACATTTCAATATCCTACTGAGAAACCACAACAGTAAGAATATGTATAACACAACACAAACTAATAAATTATACATATAGCAAGGGAAATCAACTTTAAAATATTCATAACCATAAACAGAAGATAAGCTATAAAAATAGTCATTTATTTTGAAATTTAGCATGCATGCAAATTATTAATTCAAATAAAACCTTAAGCAGTATAATTTTTCAAAACAGTCTCTGATTATCCTCTGTATGTCTCTGGTGGTATTTCTTTTTCATTATGAATTTTAATAATTCAAGTTTTTTCACCTAATTCTTTTGGTTAGTTTGGGTAAGGGTTTATCAATTTCATTTATTTTTTTTTCAAAGAACCAAATTGTTGTTTTCAAACAACCAGCAATTTCTTGAATTTTTTTTGTCTCAATCATTGATTTTGACTGTTAATCAGCTAAAAGTGAATGTCAAGTTTCTCTTCTTTGTCTTAGACTTAACAGTTATAGGATTGTAATAGAAGCATCCATATGGTCTTACCTTTAACCCTTACAGGCTTGTGAAAGAAGCATGTATTCTCAGAAACTGAAAAAACTCATCAGATACCCACTTCTCCTCAACCTTGCCAAAAGCCACATTCGGCTCCCATAATTACAACAGATCCAAAGTTACTTGCAAAACCAGGAAGTCTTGCTTAGAAATTCACAACTTACTAAATATCTGTTCTCCCATGTTTATCATGTTTGCCCAATAGCTCACTCAGTTCATTCAAGTCTAGTAATTTGTTCTATTACAGTGGAAGCAAAATTTGGGGATAGGTATTATAGGTTAGAAAAAATACAGAGTACCTATCATTATGCCATTAGCTTGAAACAGATTTATAGTATGAAATAATTTAAATTTTGCCCTTTTGATCTGCCTTCAGGTAGTAAGGACCACATCTAGCTCAGACTACTTTTGGTGTAAACATCATTTATTTGTTTATGTATGTGTGGATACACACATACGTATATGAGTAAACACATATGTACATATATACATACACACACATATATACAAATAAATGATTCAATTTTATTTCTATACTTTGTTCATAGAAATTCTGTACCTGATGACTTGTCTGATTAAGATACTGAACATACTGCTCTGAGTATTAATATTATCCAAGCCTGAGTTTTTTTCAGTCCCACTATTTCCTCCACTGTTATTCTCTTGTGAGTCTCCTGGAGACAACATATTGTCATGTCTTATTTTTAAATCTAATCTGCCAGTCTATTCCTTTTGACACAAGTGTAGGACATTTACATTCAATGTTACTATTGAGAAATGATTTTTTATTCCATCATTTTCATTTATTCCTAGTTTTTAATTTGTATTATTTTTTCCTTTGATTGACTATTCTTCTAGTTTAGTTCCTCCTTCTGCTGTTTTTCACTTTTACTTTTCATTTCTTCTTCATGAAATAGTTTTATAATGTAGGCTTTTCAATTATGAATTCCTTTAAGTTTCTTTTTTATCATGGATGGTTCTTATTTCATCTTTAGTTTTACTGGGGATAGCATTCTCAGTTGACATCCATTTTCTTTACAGCTTGGTATTATTCCAAGTCCTCCTAACATTTAGGGTTGGGTTCCTAAAATCTGCTGAGAGCTACATTGGTTTAGCTCTAAATATGACTGGCTATTTTTCTCTAGCAGCCTTTAAAATTGTATCCTTATTCTGTATGTTAGGCATTTTCACAATAATATGCCTAACATAATGGTGGGGTCTGTTCTAATTTTGTGAATTTGGTTCCTATAAGCCTCCTGTTTACTTTTCCACTTCATTCTTAAGATTTGGGAATTTTTCTGATAATATTTCACTTAGAAGATTGTGCCATGCATTCCTTTGGTTTGTATCTCTGAGCCTTCATCTCTCCCAATAAATCTTAAATTTGGTCTTTTCATGTTATCCAGTATTTTCAGAATTTCCGCTCATGGTATCTTAACATATTTTCTCCGTGATCAACTTTATTTTCAACATCACTTATTCTGTCTTCCTTGCATAAAGCTCTATCTTCTGAGTTGTATAGTCTGCTGGTGATACTTTCCATTGAATTTTTAATTTGGTTTATTGATTTCTTCATTTCGAGCATTTCTGCTTCATTTTCAGAATCTTTATCTCTTCATTGAAGTGATTTTTCCCTTCCTGTATTTTCTCTTTGATTTCACTCCTTACATCATCCTTTACCTCATATATCAATTTAACTCTGAACTTTCAAACCTTCTCTGATATTTCTTCCACTGTAGTGTTGACGGATTCTGTTATTGAAGTATTTTGGTTTGTTTGGGGTTGTTTGTTTCATTGCTATTTCACATTGTTTGCATGTCTACCCATTATCAGTATCAGTCTGAGTTGCAAGAGTTTCAACCATATAACCTCATAGTGTCCCTGAACGTATCTAGTACTTCATGGTTTGGGAGGAAAAAGTAATAATGATATCCAATTTAAACAATATACAGCATTAAACCAAACAGTTCCTAGTATGACATCTACAATAGTAATTGACACAATAAACAGAAATGATGTGATCAGTTATTGCCCATAGTAAAAACAGTAAGTTTGCAAAAGGTTTTACAATTTCAAAGAGTGAACAGGAAGAGAACAGATAGATATAAGATGGTTATGAGGGAGGAGGAGAGAAAATAATTAAAAAATGAAAGGAGAAGTGGAAGACAGAAGAAAAGAATTTGGCTTTTAGCAAAAGAAAAGAGAAGTAGAATGAAGATAAACAAACAAGTAAAAACAACATGAAACAAAACCAAAATGTATACTAATCAAAAAACCTAGTCATGAAAAATCACTTACTTCAAAAAATGCTAGACATATATGAATGTGTATAAATGTCTATGGAACCATTCAGGAGAGTCAATAAAATAAATAAATAAATAGATTTAGTAAGAAAGTAAATAAGTAAGTAAGGCTATTGATGAAAAATTAAGGAATTCCTTCCACTGTGGTGTTCAAAAATAGTCAGTGCTAACACATGCTAGTTGTTTGTTCCAAGTTCTAAAATTCCAATGCCATGTAGAGTTTCACAATACAGAAAATTAAACTAGATCCAATATGTTTGAGTATATATGGTTATTATATATAAAACTTATTCGTGTTTCTAGCTGTAAATACAAATAAATATTTAAAATATATTCAATGAAGCTTTAAATTGATATGAACAAATTTGATCTCACTTTTCCAAGCAAATCATTTTTCCTGTCCACTATTTACTATCACATTAGAAAGATAACATCAGCCAAAAAATCTGCTTCTTGAAAGTTAAGTTTATGATGACATAATTCCATCTTCTGAAATCTCTTCTATTCCTAAAAAGAATCTATTCCATCCAGTTTTACTACATGTAAAACAAATTATTCAAAAAGAAGAAACTACTGAGCCATAAAATATTTCTCAGTTATAATTCTTTTAAAAAGTTAACACCAATAATAAAGTTTTAAATTATACTTAGTATTAAAAAGCAAATACTCACAAAGAAGGATCTTGTACAAGATCTTTGAGATTTATCCCACTGCGGTCTTCTGCAAGATTCCTGAAGCAACTATCACTCACTACATAGAAAAGAGAAGAAAAACGAAGATTAATATTTTATTACATTTCATTTAAGCTACTACTGACAAAAATAATTTTAAAATGAAAATTGGCCTTTAAATTTTTTTTCCAAACTTCAATATTCACTATATTTCAGGATGGGTAGATTAAGTAGCAAATGTTAATTTTAAGTAAATAAGTCAACATTTCAATAACTACTAATTTAAGTACACAGACCATATATAAATATAAGATGTAAAATAATGCACATGTTTGTTTAAAACCCCCATAAAACCTCACTGATGTGTGTGGACTGGTATGACAGACAGAATCTACCAGAGCCAAAAAATACAAAAGTTTTGGAAGCTGATTAGCAATTCTAAATATCTAATTTAAGATTTTTAAAAACTAACATTCATAAAAACTAACATTCTACTATTCCATTATAAACAACACTTATTATATACAATAAAAATTACAAATATGACAAAGAGAAAAGTCTAACCAATAATCAAGAGACAAAGAATAACTCCAAGGAGATCCACAAATGAGTCAGAAAACTTTAAGAAAATTATTTAACATAAGTTACAGAAAATAGAAAAAAAAAACTGTTCACACTAAGTGAGAACATAGAACTTCAATAAAGAATTAAAATCAATGAAAAAACTAGTAATTTTAGAAATAAAAAATAGAACATGAAATTAAGAATTTGGCAGGCAAGTTTCATAGATATTTCAACACAACAAAAGACAGGATTAGTGAACTTGAAGATAAATGAGCTGAAAATGTGCAAACTGACAGAGCAAGAGAAAATGTGAAACAACAGAGCACAAAAGATGTGGGAATCAAACAATCAAATGTATTAAGAGTCATAACAAAGTGAAAGGAAAGAATGAAAGGAGAACCATCAGAAATAATTAAAAATTACTGTAAATATACCAAAATTGATTCAATATATTAAGTAGCCTTAGGAAGTATAGCTAATACCACATTAAGAAAAGTCAAAGAAAGGGTTGGGGATGTAGCTAGGTGGGAGAGCACTTGCCTAGCATATCCAGGGTCCTGGGTTTCATTCACAGAACCTTAACATAACAATAAAAACAGCAGTACCAGCATCAACAACAACAAAATAAAATAGAAAAAATAAGAGAAAACCACAACTAGAAGTTAAAAATGACAAAAATTAGCCAGGCATGGTGGAGGGTATCTATCATCCCAGCGGCTCAGGAGGCTGAGACAGAAAGACTTCAAGGCCAGCCTCAGGAAATTATCCAGGCTGTAAGCAACTCAGCAAGACCCAGTCTCTAAACAAAATACAAGAAGAGGCTGGAGATATGCATCAGTGGTTAAGTGCCCCTGGGTTTAATCCCCAGTAACAACAAACAAAACCTAAACTAAGTATTCAAATAGAAACTGTGGAATCCAGAAAACAAGGTAAATTATCAATGCTGGAGAAAAACTACATATCTAAAAGTCCATACATAGGTTGCCAAAATATCCATCAAAAACAGAGGTTAGAGGGGAAGGGAGGGGCATGGGGTTATTAATGATAGTGATGTGATGATCATTATTATCCACAGTACAGGTATGAATACACAAATTGGTGTTAATATACTTTGTATACAACCAGGGATATGAAAAATTATGCTCTATATGTGTAATAAGAATTGTAATGCATTCCGCTGTCATATATAAATAAAAAATAAAAAACAGAGGCAAACAAAAACTAATATACACATACAAAACTTTTTCTCATTATTAGCATAAAAATAGTGATTATTTTCAATTACAACTTAAGGGTTGCAACTGAAATATACATAAGAAAAAAGAAGAACACTTTTAGTGTCCATTCAAAGACATAATATTACATTTTTATTTATATTTTATATAACTTTTATTGGACCCTTAAAATTACAAGTTTTATGTTCTCAAAATCTAGATATGCCATTGATATAAATGATTTATACATATAAACAATTTTTCATTAAAAATTGGAAAGTGGAAAAGTTAGGATTCATTCCTTACTAATTGTAATAAAATATTCTTTTCATTGTGTTTGTAATCAGAAGAGTAATTTAGGTTAATATATAATTTTCAAACTATGTTTACTAGACACTGAGCCCAAATTGTTGATTTGTTGCAAATTTTCTGATTTTCCAAAATTGAACAGAAATCTCTTTACTATTTCCACAGCAGCAACATAAATGAATGAATGAATGAATGAATGAATGTTGCACGCTATAAGACTATAAGAAAAGTTGTTTTCCAGCTGAGTTTAACCAAAATTGAAGGTATATTTTATACCATAAATTTGTTTTCATACTGTTTCTTGCCCATCTTGCCAAGGAGAACAGCTTAGTTATAAACTTCAGAGCTTGGGAGTTTGAGAGTTTGGGAGGCTTAATTAAAATGGAATAAACTTTTGGTCTTTTTTTTTTTAAGAGAGAGAGAGAGAGAATTTTTTAATGTTTATTTTTTAGTTTTTGGTGGATACCAACATCTTTATTTTATTTTTATGTGGTGGTGAGGATCGAATCCAGTGCCCTGTGCATGCCAGGCGATCGCACTGCTGCTTGAGCCACATCCCCAGCCCAACCTTTGGTCTTTTAATGACTTTCTAGTCAGCTATATGTAAAACAACTTCTGCTAAGGAAGACATTTTTCTAAATACAAGTCGCATCCAAATTTTCAGTCAGAATCAGAACAAGAAATCTAAAAAAAAATTCTGAAACTTTGGTTTCCTACTAAATAAATTTATCATTTCTAGTTCAGATTTGTCATCAATGCAAAGGATTTTGATTTTGAATCATAATTTTTAAAAAAAACACTACAATTTAAGAAGCTAGTGACTGTGTTTTCATGTCTAAACCACATCAAAATCAATCATTTTTTGGTTATTAAATTTTTCTGTTTTTCTTTCTTCAGTGTATGACACCTACTAGAATTACTAAGAACTTAGCTCCACTGATTAATAAAAATTATGCATTATGCCATCACGTAAGTCACACAAAACAGGAGAAATGGCACTAGAGCATGTAGTCAAAATGAACAGTACTAATACAAAAATTTTAATAAACTTGTATCCCAACCTGGTTCATGTCATAATTAGCTTTGACAGAAGAATGGAAAATTCCTTGAGATACTCCATTTAAAAAATCCTAAGTAAAATTCTTAACTAGCTATTTTGCTATAAATGTCCATCCTTCTGATCTATAGTCATGAGTTGATATCGATATACTAAGCAGTTCACATTAATTATCTCTCTTAATTGACACAATCATACAGTGTTAATACTACATGTATTCTCATTTTACAAAGGAGAAAACTGAAGCATGGAGAGATTAAGCATTTCACTACTGATCAAACAGCTAATAACAGCAGTTATTAGGAGATCCCAAGCCCTGTAACTTGAGTCTACAATCTTAATCACTATGTCATACTGACATAGTCCTCATATATATCTCATTATTTTGGATTGCCATGCATTTCTATAACTATATAATATTAAAATTTATTTAATGAAAATTTATCATTTTAATAAATGCCATTCCAAAGCATTATTCAATAAATGCAGATTTTTATAGGTGGAATAAACAACAGGAATCTTTCAGTCAAATGATTTGGTAAGAATGCTACATGATATCTCATGGGTTCTACGGAAAAATCAATGGTATTCCTTCCCCCTTTCCAGCCAAACAGCTCTGTTTTTATTTGTTTTATATATTAGAATGCCTTAAAAGATTTTACTTTAGGAAATTTTAATAATGAAATTTGATACAAACTGAGATACACACTCACATCAAAACAACATTAAGTTCTACCCTCTCTATTCTATTATTTATTCATGTATTTATTCATTTTTGTGCAGGGTATTGAACCCAGGAGCACTCAACCACTGGGTCACATTTCCAGCCCTTTTTAACATTTTATATAGAGACAGGGTCTCACTGAGTTACTTAGTACCTCACTAATTTCTGAGGCTAGCTTTAAACTCAGGATCCTCCTGCCTCAGCTGTCCCCGCAGCTGGGATTACAAGCATGCACCATTGTTCCCGGATACCCTCCCTTAATTTATAAATGAAAATGATGGTTTATCTATTATCAGCAAGAATTGGCACTCAAACTTATGAAATTCTTGGACATATTTATAAAATAGACCATTTAGGAGGGATCTAAACTAACAATAAGGATTTTTCTCTGTATATACTCATCTTTCTAGTCTAGAGTCAAGGCATTAGTTGATATTCATTATGTCCTAAACACTGCAACTATAATGTACTATTATTTATAACCAACGGATTTTTGATTAAATCTTTATATTGCGTTTATGGATTATCCCCCATCAGATTATCTCTTTCTCTTTTCAGTGAAAGGGACTGAACCCAGGAATATTGTGCATGCCCAGATTTTGTGTCCTTTACCACTAAGCTACATCCCTAGCCCCTCTTTCTTTATAGATGCCATTAATATCCTACCTTTCTATAATCAGGAAGGATTTTTCTGTAGTAAGAGAATTACTATCTTTAAAAGTTCATGTTTAAAATACTATATGGGAGGATCTAAGCACAATATTTACAATCCTGAGTAGACAATACTGTCTCATGTTTATGACCATGAAAATAAAGCACTTAACAATTTGAAAATTGCTAAGGAGTCAGTAAAAATGAATCAATAACTTATTTATTATTTAGCTTCTAAATATTCAATGAAATAAAACTCAAAAGGAAGAAATGACCCCGTAAAAGCAACTGACAATTTTTAAATATAAATTTACACTATAGATTTCAACAAATTTATCCAAAACACTTCCGGTTCTAAGCGTTTCAGATAAGAGATGCTCAATCTATATTTCTCTTCCACATCTAAATCCAAACACTTTCAATCTAGTATAAGAAAAGTTCACTTAAATCCTCTACTAAAGAGTATGAACTAAATATGAAGAATTATTAGTGAACAAACTGAATTGGGTACATAAATAAATAAGAGAGGACTTTTACTTTCTGTAAGAAGCATAAAAGTT